TTGGTGAATCCATGTTGACTATTCCTGATCACTTACCCCTTTTCCAAGTGCTTCAAAATGGATTCCTTGAGGATCCCCTCCATGATTTTTCCAGGGATTGAGGTAAAGCTGACTGGTCTGTAGTTCTCTAGATTGTCCTTCTTCCCTTTCCCTTTTTTAAAGATGGGCACTACATTTGTCTTTTTCAAATCATCCAGAACTTCTCCTGATCTCCCTGAGTTTTCAAAGATAATGGCCAAAGGCTCTGCAATGACAGGTATATTTACAGACTGTGCAACTAGCCTCCAAGCTAGGGTAGTCACACTTGGGCTCACAGTACAGCACTAAAAATAGCTGTTTTAGACACTTCAGTTTGGGCTGGAGTTGGGCTCTGGGGCTGAGGGAGGGAAGAGGGCTGCAGAGCCCAATCTCCAGCCCAGTCATCAACCTAAAAGTGCTGGGTACGCAGCTATTTTTAGCATGGTAGCATGAGACCCACAAGTCTGAATCTGTTTACCTGAGTTTGAACACTCATTGCTACAGGCATCACAGATATATTTGTAATGAGAAGTGTCAGGCAATTTTAATAATAGCATTACATGCCCTGTCAATAATGAATAATTAAAGTTTACTAAGAACTATCTACTCACTGGAGTTTATAAAGACTCAAAGAAAGGATGTGAGCTTTCTGCAGCTAAAAAGTTGATTCTCTTCATTATGCAACCTTTGAATAATCTAATTCTAAATAATAAGCAAAGAAATAAATAGGCCTATTTAGCAATAGCACCTTTTTATTCTAATAGGACCTGATCCTGCACACCTAAAACCAATGAGAATTTTTTCATGGACTTGAATGGGAGCAGGATCCAACCCATAGTACCCAGATAATCGAAGAGGTTCTTTAGAAATACAAAACAATAAACACATTTTTCTTTTTAAAATACATTTTCTCCGTTGCAAACCTTCCAGAGTTTAAGTGTGGGTGAAGCACGTATAATTATGATGTGGTTGGAGGGTCATACCAAAGTTTTGCTGCTCCCATATGTTGCAGTCACATACATTTTATCAAGAAATCATAGGTCTATTGAAGTCAGTGACAGTTTTACTATTGACCTCATTGGGACAAGGATGCCTCCATGTCATCAAGTTGTAAGTTTTGGTTCTCCAGGTATTACCCAGTAAGAGATTGGAGACCTAAACACATTAAGGACAATTTATTTGTTATCACTACACTGCTTTTAGGAAAAGGAGTGCACAAACACCTTCTGAGGACCAGAACTCAAATCATGACTGAAAAAAAATTGATGTTATGTTGGCTAGTGTTTGCTCACTTCATCAGCCACCATACAACAACCAATCTCTCCCCACTTAGGTATCAGAACTGGTATAGCAGCTATATGCTGTAAATCATTACTAAGATGCATTGTTAGAGCAGTCGGAAGAAATTTGCATAATGTCTAGCTCAGTGGTTCCCAACCTTTTCGAGCATATAGATACCTTTTCAATCTGTTAAAATTTTTCAGGGGAGCGGTGGGAAGTGGCGGCCAGCATGTCCCTTGAGCCACACTGCTTCTTCAGGTCCCACCCCCTCCATCCCCTGCCCATACATGGAGGATATGGTGAGGGGGTTCTTGTGGCCAAAGGCAGCTGCTACCCTGGCACTCCACCCTTGGCCAAGCACAGAACCCTAGGGGAGAAAAAAAAAGAAAAGGAAAAGAAAAGTAAGGATCGGGCCCACCGCAGAATTGAGAAGAGGAAGAGGGCTGGAGCGTGAATGGCAGCGCAGCTGGTGGCGGGAGGATGGATGGTGACTCCTGGCGTATCAAGATCCCATCCCGAAGGTGGGAGGCAAGGTGTGTGCAGCTGGTTGCAAACAGCGAGCCCTGGGCGAGAGTCATCTGATGGAAAGTCCCATCCCACAATTGGCCTGATCCTTACTTTTCCTTTCCTTTCCTCAACTTTCCGTGGACCCCCTACAGTACAATCACAGACCCCTAGGGGGATCCACTGGTCCAGCTTATATATTAGTGCTAGTAGTCTCTCACTTTCATAAGCAAAAAATTCACTTAGGACCTGATCCAAAACCCACTAAAGCCAATGGAAAAATTCTGACATCCATGGGCTTTGGAATAGATTTTTAAATGTAATATCCAATTCTGCTCCAATTCTGACATTGAAAACAATGTCAAATGACCCAAACTACACCAGGGGTCAGCAACCTTTTAAAACCAAAGAGCCAAACTACATCCAAATTCAGAAAAATTGGTCAACAAAGAGCCAGTATAAAAATTCCCATTTGCATGACTGAAAATATACAACATAATATTATTGATAATTGACATGATGATTAATATTAGCATAAATGAAACATTTTTCTCACAGACTTTATTTAATGGGACTTCTGGTGCTGCTGGGGGTGCAGTTTATGGATGTGGGAGTGCAGGAGTCAGGGTTGGGGTGCATGAGGTTGCTCAGGGCAGGGGGCTGGGGCATGTGGGAGGTGCAGGAGGTGGGGCAGGGAGCTGAGGGTGGGAAGTAGAGTATGTGGGAGGGCCCTGGGACTGGATTTCCTTACCTGGCCAGGGCTGGGCTGGTACAGCCGGGCAGAAGTGGCTGGACAATAGACCAGTCCAGGATCACCACTGCGAGATCATGGCCTCCCTTCCTACCTGAGGCGCAGCAGGACAGAATGTCACCGCCAGCCCTTCCTGTGGACAGAAGGGGGTCAAACTGCGGGCCTGCCCCAGGATCGGGGCCAGGGACAGGATGCTGTGGCCAGATGTTGGCTGGGCCCCAACTGGGACCTGGTTGGCCAGGCTGCCACGGGAGCAGCCGCACCACAGCTCCAGCTCTGGCACATGGAGCAAGATGCCTGTCACTCTGCCTGCCCCAGGAGCAGCTGGGCCGCCAACATGCAGCTCACCCTGGCTGGAGCTCCAGCCCTGGAGCAGGGCTGAATCTGGGGCAGGAGCTGCATGGTGGTTGCCTGGCTGCTCCTGGAGTGGGGCTGCATGGCAGACAGCTGCCCCGTGTGCTGAGGTTGGAGCTGGGGCCGCGGTGTGGCTGCTCCTGCGGCTGCACTATGGCCCTGGCCCCAGGAGCAGCAAACACCATGACCTGGCTCCAGCCCTGGCAATACGGCAATAAAAGGTAGATTTCAGACAGCATCAGCATTCTACAAGTGCGAATACACTTTTTAATATTAAGTTGTTTTCTTTTTAGTCTAGAACAAACTATAGAAATGCATTTGTTTTGGCTCTCCGTGATAATGCAGACAGAAAACGATCACTCTTATAAATATACTATATGTGAACTAATAGAATGCACTGTCCAAACCTTCACCAAAAACCAAAAGTTTACTGTTAGCATGTGAACAGACTGGCAGAATATCGCATCTGTGTCTTGGTTAATAACTACCAGGCATACTGTGTTCAGACAGATGGCTGGCACAGAATGCCGAAGTCAGAGATCAAATAACTTATATAATAACTAGTTACTTTTGAACAATTACAATTTTGTAAAGAATTAGCATGATAGACAGAGAATTTATATCCATGAATGTATCCTCGAAAGCGGGAATCTTACAAGCTAGCACTGCTTATAAAACATCATTAAATCATGAATATATGATAAAGTAGATGGAGGGTGAAATCCTACTGTTACTGAAATCAATGGGCGTTTTACCATTGTTTTCAGTGAAGCCAGGATTTCATCTTGAGTGTTTATTAACTTATCTGTTGTGAAACATGCTCAACAAAGCTTTGAACTTATGTTTAAAAAGAAATTGGTCTTATTGTAGATCCCTTCCTATTCAAAGTATCCAAACTGCTTTATAAAGTTAATGAATTAAAAGCCTGATTCAAAGGAAAGACTCCTTTTGATGTCAATAGTCTTTGGATTAAGCTGTAAATGATGATGCAGTAAGTATATTAGATATTGTGTATTCAGCATGAGCTCACACAAAGTTTTGGACTTAGAATCTACTTTGCCAAGAGACAGTATTGGTACAAGTGTTATATTGTTTAGAAAATTTCTATCTCTGTAACATGCACCTGGAAAGACAGCAGTAGACAAAAATGTAACTATTTCATCAGAAAGATAACAGGATTCCTCCTACAACTGTACTGAATTGTCAGCAACGGATATGAACTGCACATCTTGAACAGATTTAAACCTTTTATTTCTGGACCAGAGGTGAAAAAAACAGTAAAACAATATTGACTTTTTAAGAGCTTCATTCAAGAAGTCATACATTGGGGTTTCCATTCTCCATGGAATATTGGTTCTAGAATTTAGGAGAGGGTGCTTTGTTCCCAAGACCTTGTGCAGAATTCCAATTTATTTTTCAGCATCAGTGAGATATTAAGTTACATGGAAACTCATTTATATCCTTATATGTTTTGTTAAAATGTGGGCAAGAGTTTTGAAGTTGGCTGGTTTTTGATCCAGAAATGACAAAATATAAATGATTGATTTCTACATCTAAAATTTAGAAGTAAAAATGTTTTTGCTTTTTGTTAGTACTGCAATTACTGATAATTATAATCAGTTATAGTTATTTTGAGGCTGTCTACATTAACTTTATGAAATATACATTATTTCAGATATTTAATTGCTGTAAAAAAGATTTGTTGGCTAAAAAGAGAAATGTATTGAGTTTTCTTTTGTGGTATGTCATATTAAAATTCTGAATTTAATATATATTTTCAATTTATGAAAGTTTAAATAGCCAATTCAAGCAGAACAGTATTTTAAATCCTTAGTTGATTATATATATATATATATATATATATACACACACACACACACACACACACACACAAAACACAATGCTATTAATGATTAATTCATAATGATTTTATTAAACATAAGGTCCTAATTTGTGTACAACTATACAATGTCACTTTTAAAAAGAGAAATAAATAAGAGTTTTTGATTATTGGTCACTGAACTATATTTCATATTATCATTACAGTACATATGTATATTGAAAGTTGTGAAATTCTTGTGATTTTTTTAAGATGCAGATTCAACATTGAAAGAAATGAATCAGTCATGCAAAACTGTAGTAACAAGTAAGTAATCTTCTTTGCAATATTAGTACTTATGTTATAATCAAATAAACAGAAATGAAAGAAAAGCAAGAACTAGCTAATAGTCTGTGAGGAAGAAAAGGGTTCCTTTCACTCAGTGACAGGTACATTATTGTACAACTATGTGTGTTGTAATGGGCTTTCTGCATCTTTCTGAAGCATCAAATATCAGTCATTGCTGGAGGCAAGACACTTCACTAGAAAGACAAATGATTTGATTTCTTATGACCATCTTTTTATTTCAACCTTCTGTGCAATTGAAAACGTGCAATTATCATGCCATTAATCAAAATGTGACTTTTGGATGAAAGAGGCATGTTTTTCTAGATTTAAATTCAGTTGGTTTCATTTTTATAATTTTGCATTTCTCACTCTTCAGGAATGAGATGACAGCAGCTTCTTTCTGGTCCATGCAATAGCTATTCTGTGTGGTAATTCTTTAGAATATGGTGCACTCTGTAAGGCACTGATTTTCCTTTGACTTTTATCAGACTGTTCCATGTTTTCATAAATGGGTTCATGGAAAAGTGTGCTAGAGACAGCAAATGGAAGACATGAGGGCAGAATTCAAATGGATAATGCCTTGCTTGTACATCCTGGGCTATATGGTTTCTTACTCCCAGGGCTGCTTGTCCATAGCATCTATGTGCTTGTCCATGAATGTCTACTAATAGCCAAAGTGGCACCACAGCCAACCATTACTAAAAGGTCTAGATGGCCACATAATTGTCATATGCACATAACAGAAAGATGACATACCTTTTTTTGTAGTCTTGAATTTTGCAAATTGCTTATTCACAATATCCATCAACCACCTAATCGTTGGACCAAAACAGAATCTTACCACTATCTTTATCTTGTAAAACTACCCTTCAGTTATAAGGTGGAAGCTCTTCAGGGTAGCAACTGTCTTTTTGTTATGTATATGTCCAGTATCTAGCACAATGGGTCTGAGGCCTCAAGATACTATATATAAAATAAAGGACTCCAAAGAAGGAACATAAAATCTGCTAAAACACCTCAAGAGGCAGCATATACACAACTAAACACCAAGGCTTTGTCTACACTGCAGGGTTTTTGCACAAGAAGCCTTTTGCAGAAGTGTTCTTGCACAAAAGCACAGCCAGACCTCAAAGCTCAGTGCACTACTGAGAGCGTCCACATTTCATGGACACTCTTGCACAAGAAAGCTCTGATGGCCATTCATAGAATGGCCATCAGAGCATTTGTGCTTTTTCCGATAGGGTTTCTTGTCCAAAAACCACTGCGGAGCGTCCACACCTGCCTTTTCGCATGAGAGCTGTAGTGCAAAAAGGAGTTATTCCTCGTGCGGAGAGGAATAACTCTACTGGCAAAAGCCCTCTGTTCTGTTGATTTTCTTGTGAAAAAACGCCCTTGAGGTGTGTACCCTTCGCCAGTTTTTGCGCAAAAACCTTGTGGTGTAAACACAGCCCAATAGTTTTCCATCCTACGTGCAGGACTATGCATTTCCCCTTGTTGAATATCATCAGATTTCTTTTGCCCCAATCCTTCAATTTGTCTAGGTCTCTCTGGACCCTACACACCAGCATATTTACCACTCCCCCCAGTTTAGTCATCCACAAACTTGCTGAGAGTGCAATTCATCCCATCATCCAGATCATTAATGAAGATGTTGAACGAAAGTAGCCCCAGGACCAATCCCCGGTGCAATTTGCTTTATATCAGCTGCCAACTAGACATTGAGAAATTGACATTAATCATTCCCCATTGTGCCTAACGATCTAGCCAGATTTCTGTCTATTTTATAGTCCACTCAAAGCCATACTTCTTTAACTTGCTGGCAAGAATACTGTGAGAGAGTATTGATGAGGCATGACTTGCCCTTGATGAATCCATGTTGACTATTCCTGATCACCTTCCTCTCTTTCAAGTGTTTCAAAATGGATTCCTTAAGGACCTGCTCCATGATTTTTCCAGAAACTAGGGTGATGCTGATGGATCTGTAGTTCCCTGGATCCACCTTCTTCCTTTTTTTTAAAGATGATGTTCAAGTGCAGAAGGTGGGGGCCTGCAAGGGACCGTAAAATACCCTGTCACTAAAAGCTTCTGTTTAAAAAACTCACCAAGGTCATAGATTCCCTGACCTTGGTTGGTACACTGCCACCACCCAAATTCAAAAACCTCTGAGAAGCCAAGAAGATGTACTTTGAAACTTCTTCCTGTAAGGTAACCCCAAGCTCTTTAAACCTCCCTCAGGAGAGAGCTTGAAAACAAACTGTAATTTCTTAATAGAGGACCTTCATTCTCAAGGAATATGCACACAGAACCTCCTGCTTTGTAGGACACAGGAATCATAGTCTTTAAAAAGGTGATTTTTATTAAAAAAAATAAACATGACATACTTGGTAAAGAATATTTGGCTGCTAAGTATTACAGAGCATCTAAAAAAAAGATTAAAGCACAGAAAATTGCATCCCTGGGATTCAGTTTCAGTTATCATGTACAGGGGGGTTTAGCACAGAGGAGTTTAACCAACCTAAAAAACAAAGTAAATAACCTTATTGTGTCTAACTAAATATTCTCTGTTTACTTACATATTCTTTGTTCTAGGGGTCAGTCTTTCCATGAGCTTAGATATCGCTGAAAAATTCATGCCTTTTATTCCTGGTATAGTCCATCTCTTTCCTCAGCTCCTGTACTGAACTCACACACAAAGGAGACTAAAGCAGGCAAAACCTATTTAAAAAAATTCTCTCTCTTCCCATTATCTTCCCTGCCAATACTTCCTGGATACCCACTGTTCTGGGTTTAACCTTTTAGTTACTGAATATTGGGATGGTCTACAAAAGGGTAGTACCCCTCCCATCCATTACAGATGGGCACTACATTTGCCTTTCTCCTGGGACCTCCCATAATCACCATGAGTTTTCAAAGATAACAACCAATGACTCTTCTGTCATATCAACCAACTGTCTCAGGCCCGCTGGATGCTTTGGATCCGGTCCCATGGACTTGTGCATGTTCACTTTTCTAAATAGTCCTTAACCTGCCCTTTCACTACTGAGAGCTGCTCACCTCCTTCTCATATTGTGCTGCCCAGTCTGGGAGTTGACCTTGTCTGTGAAGACTGAGGCAAAAAAAGTACTGAGTACTTCAGCTTTTTCCATATCCTCTGTCACTAGGTTGCCTTCTTCATTCAATAACAACCCCACACTTTCCCTGGCCCCTCTTCTTGTTACTAACACACCTGTAGAAAACCCTCGTTATACTTAACATCCCTTGTTAGCTGCAACTCCTGTTGTGCTTTGGCCTCTATGATTACAACCCTGCATGCTCAAGCAACGCTTTAATATTCCTCCTTAGTCATCTGTCAAAGTTTCCACTTCTTGTAAGCTTGTCTGTGTGTGTGTTTATGTTTTCTGAGAATTCTCTGTTAAGCAAGCAGTTCGCCCAATGTACTTACTGTTCCTTCTGCACCTTGAAATGGTGTGTTCCTGCACCCTTAATAAGGCTTCTTTAAAATACAGTCAGCTCTCCTTGACTTCTTTCTCTCTCATAATAGCCTTCTGCCTATCAGTTCCCTTAGGAAGTCAAAGTCTGCTATTCTGACATCCATATTCTGCTGCTCTCCTTTTTTTCCTTTTGTCAGAATGCTGAACTCAACCGTTTCATGGTCACTGTTGCCCAGGCTGCCACTTACTTTAGCTTCCCCTACAAATTCTCACCTATTTGTGAGCAGCAGGTTAAGAAGAGTATGACCTCTTGTTGGTTTCTCTAGCACTCGCACCAGGAAGTTGTCCTCAACACTCCAAAAACGTCCTGGATTGTCTGTGTGCAGCTGTCTTGCTCTTCAAGCAGATGTTAAGGTGATTGAAGTCCACGTTTTATGTTAAATAATCAAAGAAAAGGAGTATGTGTAGTGAGATACATGTTGATGGAATGAAATTTTGAGCTCTCTCTGAAGAATCTGAATACTTGGATGAAAATGAAAATGAATGGCTAGACAATGTGATTACTGCATTTCTCCATAGAGATGCAGAAATACTTTACTGGGGAAACTGCAAATGAACTGCAAATACTTTACTGGGGAAACTGCAAATGAGGTTTTGTGTGAAGTTCTTAGGATAGTGCCATGAAAACAAAGACCCTGTTCTAAATAGTTTGAAATATGAACAATAACTTTGATTTTGCCTTTTAGCCAGGTAACATCAGTGCCCAGACTTTGGCCAATGAACAATCTGCATCTTTTCTAGATGAAAGACAGAATTCAAGATGCATCAGAATGTTTCATTGCCTTTTTTCTTGAAGAAAGAGGAAAATATAGGACGCCTACTTCAATTTTGACTTCAATTTGCTGGAGCAGGGATCTTGCTTAGAGGATAACATTTCAAAGTCCCTTATGGGATTAGATGCCCTTCAAAAAATAAAAGTCTAGAGTCAGCAAAGTAAGTTAAGTTATTACGTTTACTGTAAAGTTATTTGTTTCTATAAATGTAGACTATGCAAACAGGACACAGTTAAGTGGCTAAGTCTCAAAATTAGCCTTTTGTTTTCAAATTAATTTTTGGGCTTCTTTCAGTTTGCTTGCCATCTTCTTTGTGTTCAGTGAACGTTAGTCAAACCACCATCCCTTTGTCTTTTTGTGAATATCTGTGAATGAAAAACAAACAGGAGCAATTACAGACAAACATAAAAAAGAGACGCGATAATTATGTCTCTCTTTTTTATGGTTAGTCAATGTGGTCAATCTATGTGTGAAATCAAAAGGGGTCATGATTTCAATCTTTTTTTCCCCTTACATTTCCAATTCTAATTGTTCAGTTTAGCCACAACATCTATTATATATTTTAGAAATGTGCACCTGTCTGTCTTTCCATCCGTCTGTGAGTCGGTTTGTTCAAGAACTTGTCCTAAACGTTAAGAGCTAGGACCATCAAATTTGGTATGTAGCTTCCTTTTATCCTAACTTAAAGCAAGGTCAGGATTTGGTTGTGCCAAGACAATGGGATGTGATTTCTATAACATGGAAAGGGAGGGATCTGAGAGCAGGGATAGTTATGCTCCATAATGACCACAGGGGGGCAGTGAGCGTGAGGGACCATTATACTGCAAAGTGGCCAAGGGGGGCAGCTGCAACAGAGCTCTCCCATCTTACTGGCCAGAGTAAGTGATCCTTGTACTTCAAAGCCTAAGGCCAAATCATTCCCCCTGGCCCTCAGCCGCAGCATCAGATAGAAGGGAGAGCCTCACTGACCAGCAGCCACCTTGGGGAGGAGCTGCCAGCTAGAGCTGGGCAGAGCAGCCCTGCCTCCCTCTGGTGGCCCCAGTAAGCCACCCCAATCTCCCAGCCTCCTGTCCTGAGTCCTGAATCCTGCACCCCACCCCCTTCTCAGAGCTCCCACCCCTGCCCTGAGTCCTGCACCTCCACCCCCTTCCCTGAACCCCACACCTCCCAGCTCCTTGCCCTGATTCCTGCATCCTCACCCTCTACCCAGAATCTCCATACCTCCCAACCCCTTGCCTTGCTCACCCCTGCCTTGACCCTGCACCACTCCCAAAAGCAGACGGCTAACTCCCTACCCAGTCCTGTTGTGCCCCCCCGCCCTGCTCAGTGGAGATGGGATACAGGGTGGGAGAGGGGGCACCTTGACATCAGCGCCCCTCTTCTCCCTCCCCTGCCTTGCCCTGCACAGCAAGCAGGAAGCTCCCGGGAGCGAGGGGAGGCAGCTCCAAGGCAAAGGGACTAGGGTGGAAGGGCAGCTGAAATGCCAGGACTTGATGGCCTCTTGGCCAAACCAATTAGGATCACCCGTCAGAGGCTCCAAGATCTACCTGTAGCTTCCAATCTACTGGTTGGTGACCATTGGGTTAAAAGAAGAAAGAGCCTGCCAAAATTCTGAATTACAGAACTTCAGCACACTCAGGTCATGGCTTGCTCCAATGAGACAGACACCAGCACTACTTTGAAATTACTGCAAATTTCCAGATCATGTTGGATATAGACATACAAATAAACACAGTGCATGCAAATGACCACTAATTGTTTCTGTGGAATTGGGATATTTATTCATTTATTTGCATAAAAACAAACAGCATAGTCTTTGAGCCCATTTTTTCCTCTCCATATGCAACACCATTAACACTCTGAAATATGCTTTGGGCCAAATCCTCTTCATGATATTGATATGCATAGTCCAAATATGAATACTGTATAACAGACTTACCCAACTTTGGAAGCCCCGATGATACTCACAGCACATGCCGAGGGCTGCAACGTAAGTGTGGTCGCATATTCATGCAAATATACACAAATAACTTTTTTCACACTGATGCGCATGAATACAAAGATTAAGCCTTAAGCCGCGGCGCTGGACCCAAACATGTCCAGTGTGAGCCAGTCAGCACCTCTCAGGCTCTGCCCACAGGGCTAAGCAACCAGCACTTCCCACAATGCCTTGGCGCTCCCGGCACCTCATCCCTGGGGGCTAGAAATGCTGTCACTCTGTACCCATCTGTTCCAGCCTGTCCATCCACTTGCAGCTTTCAATGCTTACCGCATCTGGGAGATGCCTTGCCATTGTGGAGCATGTTCCCAGTGGAGGCCATGTTCAAAGGATCCCACTTGTGGGCCACATGTTGAGCCCGGCATAAACCCAAACTGCACCGTGGGCCACAAATGAACAGGTTGTGGGCCATGAGTTGAGTAGCCCTGCTGTATACTCACATAGTTCTCCTAGCGCTCCAGAATATTAGATATAGGGTAGTTCCACCTGCAGGGAAAAACAAACTTTTTTTTACACACTGTGTAGATAAATTGATCGCTCATTATAAATGAGGCTACACTATGGTGTGACAGGTTTAAAAAATGCTTAATCTAAGCAGGCCTTGTCTACAGAAGGGATTTTTTTTTAATATCCCTCTGCTGAACTTGTGGAAGTGCTAGAGTAGGCAAAGCTCGGACAATTTCTTACATATTTACCATTCTGACAATTACGCCATGTGTCAGTATAGTATGGTTTATGGAAATTGGTGAGGTAAGACTGGACATGTACATGAGCTGCACTATTTCAGCTGTTTGAGATTATAACAACACATCTGTTGAAGGTCTGGAAAGAATTTTCTGCATGGATAAAAACTAAAATTACAATGGCAGAATGTCACAATTTTTTAATGGTTAAAATAAATAGATTTATATTCTGTGGCATGGTGACTATTAGTATTACTTGAAAATTCATGAGTTTCAGTACATTCTTAGAACCATAATAATGACATACATTTAAGTGAAAGGCTTGTTTTCTCATTGAGAAAGTGCACAGGGAGTGACATAAATTCTGGGATATCAAACTACTGACTACCCTTTGTATTTGTACAGCAAACAAACAGAAATCATACATCAAAGACATAGTTAAGAGTTAATATCTTTTGATGATTTTTATAAGCATGTGTATCAGGGTTTTTTTTTATTTTTTTTAGCTGTAGTGACATTTGCCTCATATAATCTAATTCCATTTTTTTCTAGTTCTAAATACATTGATAGTTGATTATATTTCCCTATACTGAATATGGGACACCTGGTAAAATTACTTATATTCAAGTGAGTTCAGTGGCAATCCATCAACCAACTTTGTATTTTCTGTGTTGATGTTGAAACTGAAGTTGAGTAAAATACTGAAAATTGCCAAAGAATACAGTTGGGCATACTTACTTGCTTAAAACCATTGGTTATTGCCTCAGAATTTTGTATTTGATCTCCAAAATACAAAGCAAATTACTAATAGTTTTGTTCTGGAACTTGCAGTTTTGTCTGGTACCAATGACATTTCAACCTACAAGAGCAGTTCGACTGACTCCTTTAGAGGACAATAAAGCCAGTGCAAATACTGATAGCAACAATATTTTAAGTATTATGAATTTTGTACCTATACCTATAAAACCATATACCACACTTTATCAGCCTCAGTCAGCCAACCCACAGCAAAGGCAGGCTAAAACATCACGAGACCAAGCTCCTACTAGTGCTTCTGAAAGCTCCACTTCAATGGAAAACCTGGACTCGTTCAGAATGGATAGCTATTGCAAATGCTCCGGAGACTTGAAAGAACAAAGTGAAGTAAAAATAAAATGCAATGAAGCTGATGTAGGTATTAAAAGTAAACAGGTGGACTTTGAAAAATATCAGCTTTCAATAACCTATGAAAATTCAGATATCGTGAACAGAGCCAATATTCTTGATGAAAGTTATGCTTACTTAAGCTCAAGTGAAATGACAAACACCAAGGAGAACTGTGAGATATTTGCAGTTCAGTGTCTTGCATCAAGCAATACTGACAAGGAAAGAGTTGGAAACTACTGCGAGAGAGATTTAGCAGCAAAAAGTGTCATTAAGACTTATCTAAAGGAAGCTGATGTTTCAGGGATGATCCCAGCTTATACTTGGTGTGCAGATACTGACACTGTGAATGCTGTGCTTGAAAATCATGATTTAGATTCAAATTGCAAAAATGTAGTAGAATCATATCATATGCTGGAAGAGAAATCTGTAGCTAAAATAATGCCTCACTTTTCTGCTGGAAAAGTAGAAACCAGTATTTGTCCCGTAGCCTTTGGAAAAACTGAAAAATTAGCTATTTCAGAAGCAACTGAAACAAAAATCAATAAACCATGGCCTCTTGTCCCATTATCTGAACATGTGCCACCTAGAGCACCACAGATTGCCAAATGTCCCAGTAGGCCTCCTAATGTGAGTCACAGCTTCAACATACTAGCTCAGAAAGAAAATGATAATAAGATAAAAACTAGTAAAAATAAAACTGCTTTTAAACCTAAAATGAGTAGAAAAATACCTCAAGATTTCATTGTTTCTGATGAGAGTTCCACCAAATGTAAGACACACAAAACCAGCATCAAGAACCAGATTTTCCCTTCTGGGGAAATGTCTCATGTGGAATGTGAGGCTTCTTCAAAGCATCAGAAAAAAAGACCTCAGATGAAGAACTGCTATGTTGTTCAGGGTGCTCAGAAATCTAAAAACCCAGCATTTCCTTATATCTGCGAAAGTTCAAGCAGCCTAAAGAAACACGTTACTCCACTCTCTGTTCCACAAACACAGTCTGCCTCAGACTACTTGAATCTGAAATATAGTGACATGTTTAAGGAAATAAATTCAGATGACAAAGGCCCAGGGATTTATGAAATGTTTGGAACTCCTGTATATTCCCAAGTGCGTGAACTTGGTCAACATGAGAACAGATTTTACAGGGAAGTTTGTTCTGCTCCACTTGAGAGATACACTGTTAATAAACGTAAATCTACCTGTACTAATGAGAAAGACAGCAGCAGAGTAAGAAGCACCCAGAAAAGAACACATTCTAAACCCAAGAACATGACTGACATTAAAAAGAAACAAGTAGGCTTAACACCAAAAAAGAGAAGTTCTGTGTTAAAAGATAGCAACACAGAGCTGCATGATGTTTTAATCATTTCTGCTTCTGATTGGCACATAAAGACTTCAAGAAGCACACCATTGTTTAATGAAGGTGAAGATCAGCAGTTTCTGGGTTTGGAGGAATTTTCACAATTCACTAAACAAAATAAAATCATTCCGAATTCAAACCTATCAACTATTAAAGAAGTTCCTTTGGAGCTATCTTCAGATAATAGAGATGTGGTGAACAATCAGATATTTGCAATCAATGCCCACAGTTTTCATCTGGTTGATACAGATCATGCAGAATGTGTTGCTTTAATGAGTACTTTGATAAAGACGGATCAGAATAACAAGTGTGGAGTCCAAGGAAGAAAGGATATGAATAACTCCATCAATCTGGAAGCAAACCAGACCTTACATAAGTCTATAGAGAAATATGAAGCACTGTTTGCATTGTCTTTTCCAGACAGAGCAGACTCTACGTCTTCTCCAAGAACACTAGATCAGAGCTGGGGACACATGTCCGAAAATGCATCAACTCAGCATTTAAATGCTGCAGGCCCAGTTTTCCAGACTTATCAAAACATTCTGGACTGTGCAGATAACGAAAAACTGACTGATGAGTTGCTTTGTTGCCTGGCGGCAGAGCTACTAGCACTTGATGAAAAAGATACCACCTCTTCCATAATCCCCACAGAGAATACAGGTTCTGAAATACAAAATGTATTTGCTAGAGAAGAAGAAGACAGCGTGAATGTGGATGGCAAAGTGGCGGCAAGTGCAGAGGAACAGGTAAAAACATATTTCCCATAGCTACCTATTTGTTTCCTCAAGATGTAGCAAAACCACCAGCATGGAAAAACAGGTGAGTCCTCATTACACTCAAACAGATGGCAACCTGAACGCATCCAAAATTTTTGTGTCAATTTTATTGTCATCTGATGTGTAGACAGGCTTGCCCATTACAAAGACCACAAGAAGTGACTAATAAGCCTGGCCAGCAGTTACTTTGTTCCAGGATGAAAGGAATAATTATGGAGAAACTAAGATGAGCAAGGCTAATATAATGAGCAGTGATAAACTGGAGAAAAATGGTAAAGGGAAGGGACAAGCCACAAGAATAGACCGACAGATTTCTTTGTGCCCAGGCCAAAGCATTGGAGCTCTAACATAGAGGGCAACCTTATCTTTGGATCAATATTAGCCATCAGATGGTTGCCCTAGAAATGACCATAACTCTTAGCTTACTATAAAAGTTTGGAAAGAGTTTACATTGGGAAAAATAAAACAAAAGTGCTCTATCATGGAGGCAGCAGAGCTTAGCTGATAGGACACTGAGGCAGGAATCAACAGTTCTCTAGCTTAGCAAAAACCTGCTGTGTGTGCTCTTGTGTTAGTCATTTCACCCATTTCTTCCCTCCAACACCTTTGTAATTTCAGGACAGGGACTATTTTTCACTGTGCATTGGTGTATTGCCTAACATAAGGGGTACTAATTTGCAGGTGCTACTGTAACACAAAAGAGAACACACACCTCTTTTACAAATCTTTCCCTCCTCATAAGCATCTATGGGTAGATAGGGACACTTCTTTCATTTTAAAATGCCCCCCATCCAAATTTTCCTCAACTTGTTTCAGAACAATTGTTCTAGAGGAAGCCATTTCCAGGGCTGAGATTTATTTAAATGTATATCTAGCCCAGGGACGGCCACACTTAATGTCCCTCCAAACCACATACCATAACCTCCAGAAGTCTGAGCGTACACCTGCTAGGAGCCAGGGTTCTGGGCTTCAGCTCCACGCCTGCTGAAGCCTCAAGCACTGGCAGCCACACCCTGCTGGACCAGAGCCCCTACCCTCTCACTCCACTGCAAGGCAGAGGTCCTGAGCTTCCTCCTCTCCCCCACCCCCCGCCCCAGTCTGGTAGGCAGAGAAAGGGGGGTGGCAAGGGGGAGGAGGGTTTGAGAGCTGCATCAGGCCACAGTTTGATTCTTCAGCTTAGTAAGAAGTAGGTACTTGAAAACTAGATGACAGACTAGGGTATACCTTGCTATCCAGCTTTCTTAGATGGATTCTTTTGCATTCTTTCTGATTGACAGTCAATAGTACCTAGGTACGATACTTACACATTACTTGAAAGTGCTTTATGTGTAGTATAATCAAGGAGCCTTGATTTTTGACCACCCTAAAGTGATGATATAAAGAAGAGTAATTTCAGATTATCATTTAAAAACGTGAATAATATTAACATGAAGCCCTTATCTTTTTCTCCTCTGCCCCATCATCTCCCTGACCACCACCTCTCTAGCAGAGTTACAGTAATGCTTTTCTGGTGTCAAAGAGGGAAACTGACTTGCTAAGCTTCAATGAACCTACTGTGTTTCCAGAAATCACTCAAGTTAATAAGGATCCTATCACATGGACCAGAGGTGAAATCCTTGGAAAAGGAGCCTATGGCACTGTAAGTTAAAGTCTGAATATTTTTAAAAATATGTGTTATTTCCCTCAAGCTACATAGTTAACTATTATCCCATTTACTGTGTATGTCAATATTTTGGATTATACAGATGAGTTCTAGATCAGCTTCCATGGTACATCTAAAATGATATTTATTTTTTAAAAAGGCTGTCTCTAAATCATATTTAATTTTTTCAAATTCTGGTCTGATTGCAGGTGTATTGTGGTCTGACAAGCCAAGGACAATTAATAGCAGTGAAACAAGTTGCTTTGGATACCTCAGATAAAGTCAGTACAGAGAAGGAGTATCAAAAGCTGCAAGAGGAAGTTGACTTGTTGAAAACACTAAAGCATATCAACATTGTAACCTATTTAGGAACCTGTTTAAAAAATAACATTGTAAGCATTTTCATGGAGTTTGTCCCTGGTGGCTCAATTTCCAGTATTATTAGTCGCTTTGGGCCATTGTCCGAAATTGTCTTTTGTAAATATACAAAACAAATTCTGCATGGGGTTGCCTATTTACATAATAACAGTGTGGTACACAGAGATATCAAAGGCAATAATATTATGCTTATGCCAAATGGTGTTATAAAGTTGATTGACTTTGGCTGTGCAAAGCGGTTAGCATGGGTAAGCCTGAGTGGCACACACAGTGAAATGCTCAAGTCTATGCATGGGACTCCATACTGGATGGCACCAGAAGTAATAAATGAATCTGGATATGGAAGAAAATCAGACATCTGGAGCATTGGATGCACTGTATTTGAGATGGCAACTGGTAAACCGCCTCTGTCTTCCATGGATAGGCTAGCTGCTATGTTTTACATTGGAGCCCACAGAGGACTGATGCCTTCTTTACCTGACTATTTCTCAGGAAAAGCAGTAGACTTTGTCCATGTATGCTTAACCAGGTAAGTAGGTTTTTTATTAGTTTAATATTAATTTGAAATAACCACCTTTGATCTTTGATGCAGTTTCTCAAATTGCTTGTATGTTGTTGATCATCAGCAGAGGCTTTGGGTTATCTCCTATAAGGAAACATGTCTCTAAGTTACCATTTTGCTGAGCATTCCAAAAAGGCTTGAAGCAAACTTGAATGTTTTTTAGTGACATTTAGTTCTAAACTTCATTTTGTTGGGTCTTTCCCCCCACCCGTAGCTCCTGGCCAGTGTTCCCTCTAAGAATTCATGAGCAGAGTTTTGTCTTATGCGCCCAATGAGGTCACATGCACTTGTTTGGATGTGTGCCACTGTGGCACCTACCACTGGAACTGCTCCCAAAGAAACTGTCCCAGATAGCGCCCCCTCCCCCCCCACCTCTTGGGGATAAGGTGAGACATCCCTCCTCCAGGGAGCACAGTTCCCTGGGCAGCCTGTGTGCAGGACAGGGATTGGCCCAGGCTTCTCCTCTCTGTCACTGCCCAGGGTTTGCAGGGAGTGAAGTGCTGGGGGTGGGGCAGTGACATGCAGGGAACAGAAGGGATAGAGGATTGGGGGCAAAAGAGGTAGCCAGCCCAGGGAGAAGTCAGGAAGCCACTGTGCATCCCTGGACACAGCTCCAGCCACCTGAGCAGCTCCACTGCCATGCTGCCCTGGCATCCCCAAGCTGGCCCCAGGCCTCCCCACACCACACGGTAAGTCCAGGACGGCTGCCCCACAAATCCCCCCACGCCCCATGCCATCTCAGCTGGCCATGGCCTGGAGAAGACACCTGCCAGCAGGAAGATGAGTGCTGCTGCACAACTCTGCAAAGTAGCTGAGCGGCAGAGACTTTTTTGTGCACGGCTACACAGGCAGGAACTGTGCTCCTGGCCTTGCTATTTATTTGGATTTGACTTTGATTCTAATCTGCTTCATTTTATCTACCCAATCTTCAGATACTTACTGATTCCCTCTAGCTCCCTCTCTCTCACCCCTTTCTTTTCCCCTCTATTTATTTTGGGTCTACACATCCTAAATGCATAACTCCAGTCATTCGAAGAAGTGAGCTGTGCCTACAAAAGCTCAGGATACCATCTACATGTTTTTTTAAGTCTATAAAGTGCTACTACATTGTTTTTTTCTATATGAGTATGTCTGCACTTGCACCCTAGTACGAACGAGGGATGCAAATGTAGGCATTCAAAATAGTGAATAAAGCAGGGATTTAAATATCCCATGCTTCATTAGCATGATCTTGCTGGCGCGTTACTCTGATCAACAGCTGTTTCGAAAATGAAAGTGCGCGCCAGGATGTGTTAATTAGAACCAAACTCCTTGGTTCGAACTAACGTTACTCCTCAAAAAATGAGGGTTTGGTTCTAACTAACATGTCCTGGCGCGCACTTTCACTTTCGAAATAGCTGTTGATCGGAGTAACATGCCAGCAAGATCACGCTAATGAAGCGTAGGATATTTAAATCCCCGCTTCATTGACTATTTTGAATGCCTACATTTGCATCCCTAGTTCGAAGTAGGATGCAAGTGTAAGCATACTCTAACAGACTAACTTGGCTACCCCCTGAAGCTATTCATTTGAGTTAGAGCATGCCAGGGTCATTTAGGAATATCTCCTTCTTAAAATGCCCTCATTACCACGATCTGATTTAGGGCTAGCAAAGGCAAACAACTTACAAGACAATCATACGAGGGAGCTCTCATAGAATTTACTTTCTACTAGAACATTGAACCAACCACTGCTATGCTATAAACTGTTCTCATCCAATGGCATAAGAATTAGAGGGGGGAGGGGAGGGAAGTATCTTACAGGGATGTTAATGTAAATGGCTAATTGAATAGTTGATGCAGTTTTCATCAACTATTCCATTAGCTGATAAGGGCACCTCCACTTTGAACTGTAGCAACAGGCCCAGGTCAGGGCTTTCTTGATAGAGGCAGGAGGGTGGGGAGAGGGAGAAGAGGTGACTAACCATTCACATCCCAGGACCTTACTATATTACTCTGAAAAATGGACAGTTACCAACAGGAAAGTTGGTTTCACCTGCGTTTTGGTATTACATTTCATAGAGTGTTCATTAATGTTAAGGGCAGCTTTAAACAATCTGGAAAAATTAAATGCATATACAAAAAGCTATTCTATTCTATTTGAAAAAAATGCAAATAAAACATGCATAGAAGCCTAAACAGAGGAGAGACACCTAGAAAGTGCTGTTTCCAATGTTGCAATTCTTGTGACTGTCATCACTCTTGACATTTGGGGCATTCTTTGCTAAACCTTGGCTCCTGGAGTCAAGTGATTCTGCAGACTTCAGTATTTATTTATTTATTACAGGAAAACTAAAGAGCAAGTTTGTCACCCACAGCATAGTGGTAAGTTTGAAAATAGCATATCCCGAGTGCTCAAAAATAGGAAGCAGGGTAAAAAGCAGTCAATTCAGATTTGATCACGGCAAGAGTCAGCAAACAAGAAATAATTCTTTAAATAGCTTTGATGCAACTGCCACTAGAATACCCAGCTTACAAGAAAGCGAGTGACTAACTGGAAGAAATCAAAGTGACAATGACATCAGAAGGCTGGAAGCAATTATTTGATTTAAAAAACTGAAACTACAAATAGTCCTGCAGCACCTGAGAGACTAACAAAAAACGTAGAAAGGTGCTGCAGGACTATTTGTTTAAGATTTGTCAGTTACAAACTAACAGTTACCCCTCTGAAATTATTTAAGAATTCTATTAATGTCTGTACTTTCCACTAAGCCTTGACTCCTGAACTCTAAGAAAATAAATACTGCAGAAGCAACCATGTAAGATATCTATATTTTATAATATAACAGTGAAACAACATGCACGTTTTGTAACTATTTTCTTTATTAATTCCTTAACCCCACTGTGCAGGGATCAGCATGAGCGTCCATCTGCTCTACAATTGCTGCAGCATCCCTTCATGAAGGGAAGACAATGAACTTTTCAAAACATCTGCCAAACTAATATACATTTTCCATTCATATCTCTTTCTAACAGTACAACAGGGTAATTTGCATTTGAATTGAAATAGGAGTATAGTAATTTACTAGATCTCAGCAGTCAGCCAAACAGTGGAAAGCACCTGTGAGACTGCAATATAATTTAACTAGTTTGATTTGTGCTGTGACATGCTTATCAGGGCTGGGGAATTTAGATTGCCATTTATTCAGTAAACAACTTTTTTTCCTGCAAAGATTAAATGTTTAAACAAAAGCCATGACATTGTTTTCAACTTGAAGAGGCTTAAAAAGAAGCTATTTTATAAAAATGGAACTGGGGGATTCCCATTTTTTCTGTGAATATGTAAGTGGTGAAATAGCTAATATTATCCAAAAGCATCAAAGAGTTCTGTACATGCTGCTCAGGTGTATTTCCCAAACAGAATTCGCCAGTTCATTAAATGTAACTGTGGAAATCACTTGGAAAAATCAGAATTTACTTTATATACAGGTCAGAACAATACACAGTTACAAGTACAAAGCAGCTTTCAGAAGGGTCCATTTAATATTACTTGGATACAGAACAGCAAGTTCCAGCACACACATAATTTGGAAGTCTTTTACTGCTGGTGATTTATCAAAAATTAATTGGCAAGAGATATCTGCTCTATATATGTACTAGTCTGTAAACTTCAGTAATTAACATTTCCTGTTCGCTCTCGGAATACAAATGCCATAAGAGGCTTTATTCCTCTTTTCTCCTTGGACTGGTAAACTGACTTTGCCATTTTGAAATTGTCACTTGTTTATATTACCATTGAATCTGTATGTTTGATGGGTAAAATCTTGAAGGGGACGATCTGAAGTGTGACTACAATTACAGTATTAAAGAGAAATTCCTGCATGCTGTAGAAGATGACCATCCTTTACTGGGACTGATGTATGGTCTTTGGCCAGATTACAAAAAAAATTTTTGGAATGTGGATCTAGGTCACCTAAAAACAAGACTAGGGATTTTTTGAATGTATAAGATGTAATGTTGTGGGTATAAAGCAGAAAAATAAAGCAGGAATCAAATATATGAGAGAACAAGTAACTACTAAGAGGTATTGAGTCATTAAGTTATTCTGAGCTGAAAATAGTAAAATTTCTGTCTTTTGTACAAATTGAAATTTATAGAATGCCAACCGTTGCAGTTGTCTCACTTCTCTAATAGAGGTATATTTTATTCTACAAGTGTCTGGTTCTAAACATTAACATTTACTCACTTCTGAATATTTTATCATAAGTGGTTTAGGAGCTAAGTCTCAGTTTCAAAAGGGACTTAAACACAAAGGAGCCAAAATCCCACTGAATTTCAGTAAGTCTTAGGAGAGTTTTAGGCTCCTAAATGTGTACATCCCTTTTGAAAATAGGCTTTAGGAACACAAACACATTTTACCTTTAGTAAACTAGGTATCTGGTCTCACCACCTCTATGCACTAATGCCAATCAGCAGCATTTAAAAATAATTAGTTAGGTCCTCAACAAACTTGAGAGTCACTCATCAAGGTAATAAGTTTTGATAGCTCATTTCTAAACCTTTATAATGCATTCTTCTGTCAATTTTCTCTGCATACATGAAAGCCAAGATTCTTATCATCACTTGAATCTTACAAATGAGACACTAAACCTCAAGTATCTCAAGAGCTGGCAAACTTTATCATGCACAATTCGGAAGTATAGATTAAAAATCTCAGAGTAGCCGTGTTATTCTGTAACTTTAATTAGTCCTATAGCACCTTAGATACTAACATTTATTTAATATAAAGTATCCTGAGATTTCATGGCAAAACCCACTTCCCAAAAGCTCAGGATATTTTCTCTCTCTCTCTATATATATTTTGTGTCTCTGAGGTGCTAAAGGACTACTCGTTGCTTTTTAAATAAGATTAAAACAAGGAATCCCATGGCATCTTAATCTAAACATTTATTTGGGCAAAAGACAGACAGACACAGACACACAGACACAAAAAGAACCAGGGCAAATGAGGCCAATTCAATCATAATGGATGTGGTCCACTCCTAACAACTGATAGGTGGAACCCTATACTGTGACCTAACATGGCACATTTTCCATGATATACAATTCCCTCTTTGTATTAGGGAAGACTTCAAAAAGACAGCAAAGTAAAGATGATCTTTAATTTCACATTAAATGATAATTAGGTACCATTTATATTAAATACTAATGGACAAGGGTGCACTGGAGTAAGCAGTATGTATTAGAAGAGAAAGGTTAGGTTTTTCAACAAAATCACTACATCCTCCTGGAAAATTTTCCAATAAAAGCTTAAATAAAATCCCACATGCTCTGGTGACATCTGCAAGTGTTTTAGCACCTGCTTAAACCTTCTGTTATTCAAAGAAAATTTTAGAGCTTTAGAATATTTATTTAAAAAACTGTTCAAGTTTGTTATTCTATTTTCTTAAAGGAGCTAAGATTTTTAAGTTAAATTTCATCCACCAAGTTAAAGATACAACAGCACATGGTTTTAGAAAGAAAAGCACTGGAACTCCATCAATCACTTATGGGAAATGATATATAAATATTATGCAACTTTACACCAGTATAACGGCACACATATTAATGGTTATACCAGTCCAATTACACCGCTGAAAAACCTACCCTCAACTGACAGTTATACTGGTACAAAAGTTGTGTACAGCATAGACCAAGCCAAACAGTCAGAGAAGTGCAAGGAGTGGGGTGGGAGAAGAGTTGCAAGATTATTGTAGAGCAGATTGTAATACTTCTACCCTTACTTCTGTGCTGTTTTGGTGGCAGTGCTGCCTTCAGAACTGGGCAACTGCAGAGCAGCAGCTGCTGGCTAAGGAGCCCAGCTTTGAAGGCAGAACCATCACCAATATCATAGCAGAAGTAAGGATGACATGGTATGGTACAGCCAGCCTTACTTCTACACTGCTGCTGGCAGAGAACTGCTTTCAGAGCTGGGTGCCTGGTTAGTTAATAGCTGCCAGTCTCTGGGCACTCAACTCCAGGGGCAGTGCAGAAGTAACTGCCTCAATACTCTGATCCTCCTAAAACAACTTTGTCACCACCTTGCAACTCCCTTTTGAGTCAGCCTCCCCCCGCCCCCATTTGAGAAATGCTGGTCTCTCCCCCATGAATTGTGTGTAGTATAAGGTGAAGTACAGACAATATCTAATTTCACAGTCCATGACAAGTTTTTCATGGCTGTGAATTTGTTAGGACCCAAGTATAGCTACATGATTCACTAAAAAGGAAAAAAGCTTTTAAATAATTATTTTGGACTTGAAACCCCACCAGTGTCTCCTTCATGTGCCCTACTACAGATTATTCATTTTGGCTATAACAACTTTTTAAAGCTTGAGCTATCCTGAGTAAAAAGCAACATTATATATTGTCATTTTAATCTCATTAGAATCAGACAATTTCTTTAAAATGCCAGTTCAACTATTTTGCATCACTTTTCAAATGCAAGATTAAAGAGGTTATTAAATACAGGTATATACTCAGACCAAGTATTTTCACAATTTTTCATAAAACACACGTATCAACCTTCTTCTACTGTGAATCCCAGCCAGGGACTTAGAACCAGTAGTTCTTACACATATCCACCATCCTTTGAATTTGTTATGATCTTTCAAAAGCAATGTGAATTGTGCAAGATCCAGAGAGAATTACTATACCAGCTACAGTGTGGAGATATTATGGGGGAGGGGAGAAAAGGGGAGGAGGAGAAATCAATCCGTTCAGGGCCATCTTATACATTTATAACGGACTGATTTAGTCAGCTTTAGTACTCCCTAGAACAGCAGAAGAGTGATGCAGGCATGCTTGTAATTCTGCTTTGTTGGAGGAAGAATACTTTTAAAACTATGAATTAGTATATTTCAATTACAGATAAAATAGCTATAATGTGACACTTCCAACAAGCCCATGAAGGGTATTTAATTGAACTTTACACAATTACATGAGCATTAATACACACTGTGATATGGAAAATACAAAGTCCCCACTTTGTTCATATCAAACGAAAAGAGGGCACTATTTTTTTTTTTTTTTAAAGATACCCAATTTCTAAAACGTGCTTTTCTGGAGTTCTCTGCTGAGTTAAGACACTACTGTGAAAA